AATGCATGATAAAAAAACGAGTCCTTTCTCAATCCACCGATGGATGAAAGCCTATATCTGGGCTTCTTGGTCACGTGGGTTGGTTGTTGACCAATGCCGAACCGCGTCGATCAATGCGGTTACGGTGAAGTCGCGGAGCCCATGTAGTAGTCACCCGTTCAAATGTCACTCGCCAACAATGCTAGTCGTGACCGGACGTTGACGTAAACATGTAATACGAAGTGCTTATGCAACTGAGCCCCCTGTGTGTGTGTGTTTTTTTTTATATCGTAGAAAGCATGCGTGTGTGCGCATTTATATTGAATAGGCGATTGGGTGTGTGTGTGTGTAAACGTCACCACTGGGGAGACGAAGGCGGCTGGGCGTGTTGGTATCCTCCAAGGCCGTAGCCATGGAGTCAACATTGGGGGGGACCAAATCTTCCAGAGGGTCTGGGGTCCCCCCCCCCCAGAAATAAAAATCTAAATTTGAAAACGAATTTCCTGCCTAAAATATAAATATAAAAATAATTCACTAACACATGAGATGGACTTTTTTTTTACAATAATGTCTAATAGTGTATTGTATTACAGTACATTGCTCTGTTTTTTCTTTTTTACCTTTTCTTGTTGCATTGTATGTAATGGCAGAGATTAGGAATTAATCAAGTACAACCATAACCACAATCATATAAACAGAAATCTATTTTATAGCAATATATTGTGGGGGGCTACGGGGATGTGTCCCCCCCAATATATATTATAATTACGGTCTTGCTGTTCTCCCACCACTGCGTGTGCGGTGCCGGCCTTTAGGTGTTCGCTTACAGCACTTGCCCCAATAGTCTGTTAAAAGCAATAGGGCGGACCTTCGTCTTTGTGTGTTTCTGCGTGTTTGTATGTGTGTGTGTGTGGTCTGGGTTTATACGTGGTGTTGGTGTGTGTGTGTTTATATATAATATTCGCGTGCGGGTTCGTACAGGGGGACGCGTGTAACATGTGACACATGTCACACACGTGTGTGAGATTTTGCGCGCTTATTCTGCATGCGCACACGTGTGTTTGTTTATGTGCATGTGTGCGCGCGCCTTTGAGTATTTTAGTTTCCGATTCGCACTGTTCGCTACGTACGGCGCCGAAAGCGGTTCTACATGTGAGTAATCGGTGTGTGTATATGGGGAGCTGTGGATCAGTGGTTAGCGCACTACGCTACGAACACAGGGACACGAGTGCAATGCTCGTTTACGGCCAACACCATTTGACGATTATCCAAAACCTGTCCTGGGTCTCCCCTAGGTCGACTCAGAGTTAACTAAGACATGGTGCGGTGTGTAAACAACAGCACTGGGAAGACAAAGGCGTGGTATTGGGCACCCACCGCCTCATGTGCCGGCCTTATAGAGGATATTCGTCTTTTGCATGTAGCTGCCTATACGTGTGTGAGCTTTGTAGTAAGCGTGAGTCTGATCTACATTTGCAGTACTCGCGATATTGATACTCGTTTAAGTCGTAGGCGCAGTCGTGTGGGTTTTATGGTGGGAGAACAGTGGATGGTAGCTCCTCCAAGCACGACGCGGGGAGTGGCGATGGTGATGACGATTATGAGAAGGTGGCGGTGCCACGGGAGGGGGGGGGGGCGGGAAGGAGCGGATGCCTGGGCAGGGACGCGTTTTGTCGGCGTCTTAGCCAATAGCTCTCAACCTTAGCATCACACCTCCCCTCCCCCGTCCCCCCACAGCCACCTACCTCCATCATCACCCTACCCCGAACACGCTCATCGAATGAGAAGATTGACGTCCAACCTGCCCAGAAGAAGAAGAAGAAAAAAAAATGGAGGGCGGGAGAGGTGGGGCCTTATTTCACCCAGGCACGGAGCCGGGGGGGTGCCACAGGAGGAGCGTGGACGCACCGCGTGCGGGTAGTCGTAGGGAGCGCGGGTAGTCGTAGGGTGGCGGGTGTCTGCGCTCTGCTTCCGCGGGCTGCACACGGGCACAGCACGCGCGGGCTGCTGTAGCCACGAATAGCCGGTGCTGGGGAGCCGGTGGGCGCGTGCACGCGCGCGCATTGGCCTCCGTGTAAGTTTTTTTTGCGCGCCGCGTTGCGAGCCAATTTCACGGCGACCCCTCATCGCATGGCAAACGGTGAGAAATACAATCGGACGGTCAGACGGGGGCTGTGGAGGGATAACATTGCGCGTCATTCACGCACGCACACACGCACGCCTCGAGTGCAGGCTATCGTGCGTGCGGTTTAGGTAAGGGACGACAGACGCATGCGAATTGGATGAATTGACAGAGCCATCCGTCACACGCGCGCGGTCGAGAGACACGGAGGGAGGGAGAGCGAGAGAAAGCGATCGACACCTCAGGGGACACGCAGATCGCTTTTACGGTGACCGCCAGCGGCGAGTCGTGAACTGTGGAGCGTTGACCCCCGAGGCTGGGCGAAAGTTGGCAAAACCGCTGAAGTTTCACCGCGCCGGCCGCGACGATCTCCGCGAGGCATGGCCGAGTCGCCAGCGGCGCCGGGAGACGGTGGAGAAGCCAATGGATCATCGTGCGGGGACGGAATCACCCCCCGCGACCCACAGCAGCAGCCGCCGCCGCCAGCGCCGCACAGGCCCACAGACTTCTTCATCGAGACCATCCTCAGCCCCGAGTTCGGGCGACGGCGGAGCGCCGATGCCGCCGGCGCTCCTGGTGTTGATGCTGGCAGCGGCGGTGGTGGTGGTAGCGGTAGCAGTAGTGGTACATTTGCCGGTCAGCGCGATGCCTTGCGGGGGGTCTTGGCAGCCGGCTCGCTGGAAGCCGTGGGCGCGGAGGGTCGAGTTCCGTCCGTGGGGCTCGGCGAGAGAGACGGAGGCGCGCCGCCCGTGGGCTCTCCGGCCGGGGCCTGTGGAGTGGGCGCCGGGGCCGCTGCGGGCGCGGACGGGCAGCCTCCGAGCGGGGTCAAACCGCTCATGTGGCCGGCTTGGGTGTACTGCACGCGGTATTCTGACAGGCCTTCGTCCGGTAAGTGTGCGTATTCCAACCATGCAAACGCACGCACGCACGCACACGCACGCACGCACGCGCGCGCACACGCGCAACAAAGCTCACCCGTATAGCCGTAACAGACTGTCGAAGCAAGTGCTGTTAGCGAGCACCTCATGAGGGCTGGAACGGTGAGTGGTCAGCACCGCGCCCAGCCGCCTTTGTCTCACCACTGGGCGATGTTTACACACTGCACCTGGTACTCATTTGAGACTCAGTCGACCTAGGAGAGGCCCGGGACCAGTTCAGATAATCGCCACCGGTGTTGGCTGTGAGTGGGAATCTAACTCGGGTCGCCGGGTTCGTAGCGGCAGCGTAGCGCTCACCACTGCACTACTGCTCCGCATACACGTGCGCGCGCGCACACACGCACACGTACACACCGACGCGCACCCACCCACGCACGCGCGTAAGAAGAGCTCACACGCCGCGCTGCAGCGAGTGGAGTTTCTGCAGTTGGGGCTTCGTGCATGAGATCGCGTGATCGGTTTCGTGCCGCTTTGCATCGGCAGCCCCGTGTGCCTGTACACACACGCGCGCGTGCCTGTGCATGCGAACGCGTGTGCACGTGCGCGGCTGGAGATACACACCGCAGCTATGCGCAGAGGTTAGCGCGTTGCATTACGAAACCCGGCGACCAGAGTTCAATTCCGACTTGAGGCCAACGTCTGTGCCGATTATTTGAACCGGCACCGGGCGTCCCCTAGGTAGACTCGGTCTCAAATGAGTAACTGGTGCGATCTGTAAACATCGCCACTGGGGAGACAAAGGTGGCTGGGAGTGATGTACGCCGTGCCGCCAATCAAAGACGCTCACTAACATCACTTGCCCCAATAGTCTATTAAGGTTATAGGGCCGATCTTTGTCTTTGTATACACACGCGTGTGGCTATGCCTATCACCAGCAGCAGCAGCAGCCACGGTCAATCCACTGCTGGATGAAGGCCTCGCCAAGCCCATGTGTGCATGTATATTCAGCCTCGTATATGTCATACTACAAAGGCGTAAGTGGATATGGTTTTATAGACTTTCATATATATACATGCCATTTGTGAACGTATGTGCACGCTACATGCACGCGTAATTCCATACGCCTAAGTGGGCATGTATATTGAAAGCTTTCGTGACTGCAGGGATTCATCTTCTTGGTTCTTTCGGTAAAGTCACGTAGAATGGAAATAATAAAATAATAATAATAGTAAAATATAATAAGATACGATTCTCACGACGTTTCGGCCACAACGCAAGCAACCGTCCTCAGGTGAAGAACAGGGCTGTTCAGACGCTGTCTTTCCGACAGACCTGTTCTTCACCTGAGGACGGCTGCTTGCGTTGTGGCCGAAACGTCGTGAGAATTGTATTTTATTATATTTTATTTTTATTATTTATTATTTCCCTTCTACGTGACTTTACCGAAAGAACCAAGAAGATGAGCATGTATAGTTACACTGCACGCATTATATAAATGTGGCGAAATAGACGCATATGTTGCTACGTATACGTAATATCGTATATAGGTGCAAGCACACGTAGCTGTGTAAAATATCTTATCGATGACTCTCTTTCCGAAGTTAATCCTCAGCTTGCAATGTGTATACTAATATTGTTTATATATAGCGTCGATTTGTGCACGAATCGCAATACCTAGTAATTAGGTTCGCCAATGATCTCATTGCACATACTATGCCATATTTTAGTAATAATACATTTCCGATTATTTACATATATATAATCATTTAAATGGTCAAATAACACTTTCCATAAACCAAAAATATATCTAACGAATTATTTATACAATTATAACATATTTATATATATGATCGGATCACGTTAACAATGACAACAACTTGGCTCATCTGCTTTAGTCATATTTTAGCCAGAGAAAACAATCCAATTAATTGACAGCCAAAGTATCAACCCACTGCTGAATGATGATAGCCTTGCGACTTAAGGAGAACCGATCATGATGATAATTCTTAATGAACATTTAATGACGGTCGAACACACCGCGATTTTTATCGAAACATATCCAAGCTTGTTGCCACAACACAACGTCAATTTAATGACAGGACGTGGCTAAAGCCACGAACACGATTTGAGCATCGTTTTTAATTGAATCAAATTATATTTCGAAGGCTAAAGAGTTATTTTTTTTCTCGAGAACACATCTCGACGATTGAACAGCCTGAATTCACCCATGAGCGTTGACGATTTTGTCTGTTGCGCGGAACACGGCCCGTATAGCTTCGCGTTTTTCACTGCAACATTCAACTCTTAACTCTTAAGTACCCACTTACTTTTTTAACCAGATAAGGCCCACTAATCTATATAGCTTTTTAAGAAGCAACCTGGTCACAAATGATAGCTCAACACAGAAGTGGCTTATCTTGTGGAAATTGAAAGCGGCCAAATACTCTAAAGCGCGTGTTGATTCTAAATGTGGAGGGAAACACTAGAGGTCCCGGGGAAAAAATTCACGCGACCACGGAGAGAGAGAGAGAGACCGCAAACTCCAAATATATAGCAGGCGGGTGGCCAGCACCACGCCCGACCGCCTTTGTCTCCCCAGTAGCGATGTTTACACACATCAACAGGTACTCATTTGAGGCTGAGTCGACCTAGGGGAGGCCCAGGACCGGTTCAAATAATCGTCATCGGTGTTGGCCGTGAGCGGCAATCGAACCCGGGTCGCCGGGTTCATAGCGCAGCGTAGCGCTAACCGCTACACCACCGCTCCCCATCTTTCAACAATCACACACACACACAGTACATGTCACGTCTCTGTCGTCGTACTGGCGTGAGGTGTGCACGAGGCCCGATGGGAAGAGAAGCTTCAGTGATTGCCCGCTGTCGTAGTGAAATCGGTTTGCGCGCGTTGTGCAAAGTTGCCCGGCGTATATTCGCGCATCTCGTGCCGTCGCGTTCACGACAAAGACGCCCTGTGGGGGACCGCACAATAACACTCGCGGCGCTCAGAGCCGCGTAACATCTTTCGCTGGGGGTTAGATCCAAGCAATCGCAATAAACTTGCCGTAAATACTAATAATAATAATCATGCAACATCGCCGTTGGCTGGGATAACCGCGCCAGCAGCTGAAATAATTTGACAACAATCATACGTGTTAAAACACTTCGTTGACAGTATTCCAAGTATGTAGGAGCATCGGAGAGGTTTTAAGGACTTAATGGGGTCCGTTGCGTTCGAGTTCACACTTCTATAAGCCTTCTTGTGCCTCTGCGTGGTGCAATGATTGGAGTTTTGCGGTCACGTAAACGCCCTCTTAATGTTTTGTCATTACGTAGAAGAAACTCAAAGCGAGCTCGTGCCCGTATTTTTTTGGTATCGGCTTTTGAGTCGCAACACATTCTTATAAAGTAAAAAAAAACACGGTTACATTTGCGTTGATAGAGACCACGGAAGGCGCATTACTTGGGTACAATTTAAAACGTTGGTTTCACCCTGCCCCTATACGGGCGCCAGAATTTGAACTTTTTTTGTCGAATGTTATAATCACAAGCAGATACACGTGACTATATTTGTGTCCAAATGTAAAGACATTAACCCTTCACGAAACCATCATTCGAATGAATGTCCACGAGCCAGTCACAACTGTCTCTGTGCGCGTGCCCGATATGTGTTTGTGTCCGTGTGGATACTCTAATCAGATGCGCGCTAGTTACGACGATACTCTCGATAACAACTGCCCGTTACGATTTTTCGCCCGTTACTATCTCACGCGATAACGTCCTGCAATGTCGTACTGTCACTCAGTGCCTCTTGGTGGAGCGGTGAGGCAGCGGTCCGCACATTACGTTGCAGGCTCGTTATCACGAGTTCCATTTCCGGCCACGGCTAACATCAGTGGCAAAGTGATAGCCGAACTGGTCCTGGATTCCACCCCGTTCCACCGAGCCGTACAATGATCAGCGTGGTGAAATATGGTCCCAACGACCCCCGAGAGCAGGAGGCATTAAATCCAGCAGTGGAATAATACATATTTTGCTGTCAAGAAATCAAATGAGTACTGCCCAGGGCGTTAGACAAAGTCGTAATAGGCGCACCAATTCAACGTATGAGCAGCATTGGCAGCGTTACATTTGCGAAGTCCAACCTGAACTCACACAGCGACTGCAAACACGTGCGCAGCAAGAGACTTCACCGAGGGCGGCTGGGGGAGGCGGTAGTGCAGCGGCGAGCGCATCGCGCTACGAACCCGGCGACCCGAATTCGCTCGCAGCTCACCGCCAACATCGGTGACGAATATCTGAACCGGCCTTGGGCTCTTCCCTTTGGTCGACTTGGCCTCAAATGAGTAACTCGTGCGGTGTGTAAACCATCGGCACTGGGGAGACACGGGGGCGGTCCGGTGTGGTTCCTGGACACCCCCTCGTGTGCCGTGTCGGCACTCGCTCCAACGGTCTGATAAAGCTATACAGTTTAAGGGATCTTTGTTTTCAAGTTTTATAGATGGTCTTATGCGTGTGTGTAGGCGCTACGTGTCTATGTATGTGTTCATACGTATTATTATTTCATTATGTGTGTGTAGCGGTCAGCGCGCTGCGCTACGAACCCGATTTCAATCCCCGCTCACGACCAAAATCAGTGACGATTGTCTGAGCCGGTCCTGGGCCTCCCCTAGGTCGACTCGGCCTTAAATGAGTACCTGGTGTGGTGTGTAAACATCGCCACTGGGGAGACAAAGGCGGCCGAGCGTGGTGCTGGCCACCCACCCCCTCGTGTGCCGTTCTGCCCTTCATAGGTGCTCGCAACAGCACTTGCCCCAACAGTCTTTTCAGGCTATTCGGGGGATCTTTGTCTTTTTGTATATACATATCCTGCCGTAATATACCGAGCTCGCTATGGGCATGCATGCACACACACGTACGTGTGTGCGCAACGCCGGGTCACGTTTTAGAGAAAGGTTTCTTTCATCTGATCTTTTCCGGAATGGGGTCATTGCTCGAAACGTTAGCCCCTAATGAACG